AATGGCTTCTTTATGAGAGTCACGAGTACAGGGGCTGGGGGCGGGGGGCAGGCCTGGAGGTGTGGGGGCATGCAGAGCGCCCCGGGATACAAAGGTCAAGGCTGGGTTCCACAGCAGGTCACAGGCTCCGCACGGCTTGATGGGGCTTCCCTCAGGCCAGCAGGTGGGTTGAGGACACTATCGATCCAGTTTTGGAAGCGTGCCACACAGGTGAAGAAGTTGGGATCCCAGCTGCAGTGCTCCATGGTGAAGGAGGCCACACCATGGGCCAGACCATTGCAGATGAGGGGGCTGCCCCCGTCACCCTGGGCAGGTGGCAGGCATGTCAGGGTGTCCCCGGGACCTGCTCCACCCCACACCCCAGCCAGCACCACTGAGCAGACAGCTGCTCCCACAATGTCCTGCTCCTGGAACCACAAATCCAACCCCAGGCCCTTTGCATGCTCTGTTCCCTCTCTCTGCGTGCTGTTCCCCACGCCCTTCGTCTGGCTAACCCCTAGTTGAATTTTGGGTCCCAGATGACTGTGGGAACTTCCTAGCACCCCCAGGCTGGGTCAGATGCCCCCCGAGGCCCCCAGCAATTACAATGTCTGACAGCCCCCCACACTTCTGGGTCTGGGAACTACAAAAATGCAGGCCTGCTCTGTCTTGTTCTCTGGGGTGTCCCCAGGCACCAGCGCAGGACTTGGCACACAGTAAGTGTTTAATAAGTGCTCTTTCTCAACTTAAAATGCTCAATCCTGCTCCCCACCACACCCCGAGTCTCCTTTGACCTGAATTCACTTTCTCCTGCCACTGGGAGCTCAAGTCCTCGCATGACGCCTCCTCCCGCAATGAGGAGCCCACGCTGGGTCTGCACCCGGCCTGGCCATACCTGGCAGATTCCACCCTGGCAGGTGAGCACACCAGTGCACACACTGTTGTGGCGACAGTGGTCTTTGGGTGTTACGGTCACATTGTCGACCCTTGGGAAGCAGGAGAGACATCCTCCAGTCTGGCAGGTCCCCCAGATGGCCACCTCGCAGCTGGTGCCAGCTTCCACGATGACATTCTGCTGGGTCAGCAGCACCAGCACCACGTTGCTGGTGAGGTTGGCCTCACGGTCCAGCTAGGGAGGGAAACTGAGTCAGGGAAGAGAGGAACTAGGGGTCCTCACGGGGCCACAGCTAGGACAGAAGTGGCAGCAACATGAATTTTGATCTGTAAGTGGTTTGAGTGCAAATCCCGGATCAGGAAGTAACCTGCTGTGGGATGCTGGCTAAAGCCCTCTCTGGGCCTCTGGTTCCTCCCCCCCAGAAAAAGAATAACAAATCATTCCTACCACAAAGGTGGCCTGGTGCATAAAAGAAGACCCTGAATGCAAAAGGGCTTACCCTGGAAGTGCAGATACAAACAGCAAGGCCAGTCAGCCAAAAAAATATTTAAAAATCATAATACCCAATGTCAGTGAAGATGTGGGGAAATGGGCAGTGTTAAATTCTGCTGGAGAGGAGGATAAATTGGTCTGGTCATTTTAGCTGCTGGGATGGAGAAATTTTTGTAAGAACAGTGTACAAAGAAGTTCCCCGTGATTCTGTTGTAACAAAAGCACTTGGAAACAGCTTCAGCGTTCCCCACAGGGGCTAGATAAGTGGCCTGTGGTGTGTCTCAGGACATTTGCTGTATTTTTTAAACCATCAACGGAAACACACATGTGAGTTTTTCTCTCCCTTAGGCCCCTTGGGTGGAGCCCCCCGCCCCCAGTGTGTCTCCAGCTGTAAAAATGAAGCCATAGCCAGTCCTATAGCTACGGGCTCCTCCACCGAGGTCAGGAGGCTTCTCCCACACATTTAATGAAACTTTCAGTTCCAGTAGTTCTGTTACATTCTTTCATAAGGTACTAATCTCTTTGTAAATATCCTCCTTCATATCCTGGAAAAATTTTTTTCTCATTTTATTGGGTCACCGAACTGTTTTTGTATCTCACTGAGTTTCCTTAAGATTGTTTTTGGGGCTTCCAGTCAAGATGGCAGAATAGATGGTTCCCAGTGTCACTCTCTCCCACAAATCAACCAATTTTCAACTATTAAAAGCAATGACAGAAAATCTCAGGCTGCTAGAGCTCAGGGGAAGAGGAGGAGAGATCTGCAGTGTTCATGTAGGCAGAAGAAGCCACAGTGAGAGAAAGAGAAAGAAAGGATCACTCTCACCATTTTAAATCCCAGATGCTTCCAAGCTGGAGCTGGTGAGTGCAGCATGGAGCAAGAGCTGGCAATGCTTGGATGCGGCAGGGGTGAAGAGGGCCTTGGTAGCCTTCAGGCCAGCAAGACTGCTAACAGGGTTCCTCTGGATGCAGATAGGAGTGAGGAGCCAGAACAACTGAAAAAAGGAGCCACTCAGAGGCTGGAGAGACATTGCAAGGGTTTAGAGTGCAGATAGTGGGGGAGATGGGTGAAACTGGGACACAGCCTGGACAGCTGATCAGCCCACCAATCAGTGCAGGACCACACAGTGGAGACCAGTCAGGAATATGGAACTGTAGTGGGTGAAGTTTGCTGAAAAGACTCAGGCCCAGACCAGAATTTCTACAAACCTAAATGTACCAGAACTCAGATGTCAACAATTAAAACCTGAGCTGCACAAAAAGCCTTCTGCAAGGAATAAGCAGCTAAGCAACAATTCAGCTCACCTACAGAGCTTAAGTGCTGGTCCCCAAAAGAAGGTCCTCCCTTTTAGAAGTAAGCAAAGGAAAACAAATTAGTGTAGAATTTAAGTAATGGGAACTGCAAATAATGCAACACAGAACTGAAAGAAAAACCAAAATACCCACAGACCAGAGACAAAGTTTGATATTAACTAGTAAAGGTCTAACACCACCAAAGAATACCTATAAAACTTAGAATGACTGGAAGCTTCCTGGGCTCCCAAGCCAGGGATCACAGAGGTCTGGGGGCCTCAGCCATGCCCCTCTACTTTTGGAACCAGGCCAGCAATGACCACCAGGCCACTGCAGGAAGCACCCTGATCACCTGAGCCATGGAAGTGGGGCACCAAGGGCTCTGGCCATGCCCCCCTCACACCCACCACCTGCCCAGTGATGACCATCGAGCTGCCACAGGAAGCACACCAATCTCCTGAGCCAGGGCAGTGAGGTGCTGAAGTCTTCAGCCACCCCACCCCCCCACATCTGCATCCAGCCCAGCAATGACTGAACCACCACTGGAGTCCCCCTTGTCTCCCCTGCAGGAATGAGGGGAGTTCCACAGGCCTCAGGCACACCCCCTTCCTCCTTCTCCCAGGCTATTTCCTTCCCCCTTCCCATCTCCTGTATCCCCCAACTGCTCCACAATGCCACCTTAGAATTAAAAAATGTAAAGATTGCTTTCAGAATTCCTTTTCATTCATTTCAAGGATTTCATGCTCTATGGAGATCCTCTTAAAATTGGTTTGTTAAAACCTAATATGGAAGAAAAGGAGATACTCCTAAGGGGAAAGGTAACAAAAAAATGGTAGCATAATTGGACTATCTACTAAGAAGTAACAACCTACCTCAGAATTGGGACTGTAACAGCTATGTTGTAGGTATTTTAACTTTTGCTCACTTTCATCAAAGCTCATATAAAGTACACTGATGGTAGCTAACATTAAGCATAGCTGGCTAAACATCTCAAAAAGATAGGGTTGAATATTTGATTCATTGTATATTTGGATATAAAAAAATGAACAAAACGTGGTAAAGGATGCTGAGAGGGAAAAGTGATTTGGGGAAGCAAACACCCATAATGTATTCAGGGTGAACCAGTGTAACCCACATTAGTATAGACATGTGTCCATGTACGCATCCATTTCTCACTTCCCTTAAAATAGTCAAAATGCCTGGCCTTGAAATAACTGAATTTTTCTTTTTTGCCTGTAAAATTATTGCCAGAATTTGAAAGTTCAATCATTTGGAAAATTAGTTATTTTATTCTTACTAATACTGAAGTGGTAAATCTAGTCAAAATAATTAAATTTTCTACATTTTACCACTTTGATATTACAACTTATGTTCTGTAGGTATTATAAATTCTGAATGTAAACTACAGTATCATTTCTAAGTTTTATGTAGTAGAAGGATAATTAAATTACAATCACCCACCATTTTTTTTACTTGTGATATTGGACAAATTACTTTTTTTTCCCTGAAACACTATTCCCTTTTAAATAAATGGATAATAATATTTGGTCAGCCAAATATAGGGGAGTGTTATGAAATAATGTGTAGAAGTGGGTGAAATCTTAGCTTTAAATCAAAAAGTTGCTGGCATAAATTTTCCAAAGTAGATAATTGCATAATAGAGAACACGATTTGGAGATATGTTCTTTTCTCATTTTTTAAGAAATATATTTTGATGTTTTGACCACTTATTAGAGTACAATTTAGTTTCACTGTTTACATTTATAATGTTTTACAACCACACGACCACATGAAAGGAATACATAGTGTATTTCCCAGATAAACAAAACTATGGTAATTCAGTCCCACACTGCCAGCCCCACAAGGAACCCTCAAGGGAGTCTTGGTGCCTAGGAAAAATAAAATAAAATAAAACAATCACCACCACGAATACATGAGGAAGAACAACTTCCACTGGTAGAGCACATAGGCAAATGAGAAAGAGAAAAGAATCTATGTCATTCTACCCCAAAACCCCAATGAATTCTGAAGTCAAACAACAGGGAAATAAAGGAACAAAAGATACTTAAAACAACCACAAAAAAGTAATTAAATGACA